TCCACTCTCTCCTCCTTCTCCACAGCCATATATATATATATATATATAAAGCTATACAGCTATCCTCACAAGACGCTAGATATCATGAAGATGTAGGTATGCCCCTTTTATAGCAGCAGAGCCATAAAATTTTTCGGCATTTGCGAGACATCGACACATTTGATTGATGTTTGCTCATGTGAGGACCCAGACAATTTACAGACGACGATTGGGGGAGCAAGGGTCAATTTTTGAGAGACAAAAAAGAACACAGAATCACTTTATTAGATATTGACCAAGAATTTAGACTCAGTGACCGGCCTAAATTCACTTATTCAATCAAAGAGTGTCTCAATTATTACATTTTATGAATATTTAAAACTTAGCAAGGATATATTTCCTTCCAAAAACAGTTGTCATTATCAAAACACTCCTCAATCACATACCTCCTTTTAAAAAATTTGAGATTTAATACTTTTTGAATAACATATATCATAAAATCTTTGATAGCGATTCGATTAAATCGAACAATATCATGTCATATGAAATACTTGTTGAATGTTAAAACTTAAATTACTCATAAGATCCAAAACCATAAACATGAAGGATTGAATAAGCTTGGTTTTAAAAATTAATGATAAAAAATTAAACCTCTTACGTACTGTTTCTTGGAAATTTTGTGTAGTTAGCTGTATCCTAGTAGTATCATGGGAAAAACTGCGCTCTTTTTCTCACTTATTGTTGATTAAAATAAATATTTGTAAATATAAATATTTTATAATATTACTATTGTAGAGTAAACTGCCTTCTTTTCCTTTTATAAAAACATTTTTTATAGAATTACGAATACCAATTATTAAATAAATTAGATATAGTTTAAACTTTAATTTTCTTCCAATATAAATTTTTAAAAATACTATTCATCCAACAGATTTAGAAAAAAGATATTTAAAGAGTGAAATAATGAGGGTTAATGTTATTCAGTTCAATAAAAGTTTTCAATACCTTCCTCATTCTTCCTGATAAATGAATTTGATGCAGTATGATAATTAAATTAAGAGAAAATTAATCATTTTATCCCTATTTAACTCAATCAAAATTCAGCCTCTACATTCTAACTCAATACAACTTAGTACTTATAGTATCAATCATCTAAAACATTAGCTAGCCACTGTATTTTAAAAAATAAAATTATAATAACTAAATGTATTTCTTGAAATTTAAGGATTGATAAATTGCTAAAATTATTGGGATTGAGTTGCATTGAATTAAATTTTATAAAGATTGAATTTCAACCTAATCAAAATTATAAAGATTAAATTGTATTAAATTAAAATTCCTGGAGGTATATGTGGAAAGCACCATTTGGGAGAGAACAACAGCTTAAATAATACTTAAATTTTTTAAGGAATTAGTCTCATAATTACATGCTGAAAGATGCCTTGGAAAACAAAACAAAAAAATTAAAGAAAATAAGTTGCAATCAATGAAAAATCTCGTCATCTACAATTTTGTCTTAAATTAATATTAATTGCCACAAGTAAAATAAAAATGCTGACGGTATGTTTTAAAAAATCATGGAAATTGAAATCAGATATTAACACTATTCAAACAATGACGTAGGCATGCAAGTGTAATTTATTATTTGTTATTATAATAATATTTTAGAGGCATTAAAAGTATGTTGTATTTTTAAATTATTTATTGTATTTTTTAATTTGTGTGCAACAATCTTAAAAATAAATATAATGAAACGGAAGGGAGGAGTATCAAGACTATCATTAAAATTCCTTTCATCTCTTTTATAAAAAAATTAAGATAATAAATTTTAATTAATAAACTTTATTAATATATGTAATTTAAAAAAATTATAAATTAGGATGGAGAGTATATTAGACGTACCAAGACTACATATAGACTTTTGCAGTCAACGATAATCACCGACAAATCATGAAGAGTAATGTGAACTTAGAGACTTTACTTGAGCCGCCGCATGACATTTTCCTCCAAGTGTGCTAGTGCACTGTTTCTTGTCAAATCATTACCCACTTCGGTTTAAAAGTATAAAATAATTGTAACTAAATTATATTTTTCATTAAATAAATTAATTATGAATTCTTGTAATGTCTCCTTATTATATTTTAGTTAAAAAACATAAGCCTAATCCTAAATCCTAAGTGCTCTCTAGCTGTGCATTCTTTGCCCTTTTTATTTCTCTTTCTTTTTTAAAAAAACTTGGTTGTTGATGACTCAAATTTGGAGTCATCTAAGTGAAAATTATAACATGGTTGGCTAGAATGGAAGCCCATTGTAAAGCTGGGATTTAGGCCTCTTGTTTACATCTGTTTGTATAAGAGTTTTGGCTTGAGAAATTTGTCATTTTTTTGAAAAACTAAGCTTCAAGCTTGGTCATTAAAAAAAGAATTTTGGCTCGAATAACCCTCCAAGCCTGTTCCCTCTTTTTTTTTTTCTCTTTCCCTTCAAAACTCACCATTTTAGCACCTGAGAAGGAAAAAAGCCCTAAGGTCTCCCTCCTTTTACTTGACTATGCTCATTGCTCTCTGTCTCTGTCTCCCTCTCCCTCTCGGCCTTTCCTCACTACTCTCCCTCTTAGCCTCTCCTTTACTCATGACATGGGTTATCACTCCTCATTTTGCTCACTATCACGCTGTGGGTTGCTTGGTTATGAACTCACAGTGCTCTCCCTCTCTAGTCACGATAGCCGCTACTCAGTCATGATGCTCTTCCTCTCAATCTTTGATTCTTGGCCTCTCCTCTATCTTTATCTCCTTTCACAACTGTCACGTTCACAATTATATTCTAACAGAAGTCACAAATTCAATAGAAATAGAGGCAAGTATGAATATTAGTAGCCCAGTATATTCATATATCATTAACTAAGGTAATGGAAATAAGATCAGACAATATGACAAATAACAGAATTGCAGGAATTAAATGCAAAAAGAGAGAATATCAAGGAGACACGTCCATCATAACCAACTTGTCCTTTCTCTACTGCTAATTCTCTTTATTCCTCCTCCTCATCGTTCAGCAAGTGAAGCTTCCATATGGGCCTGTGGATATGCTTACTTCTCTTGAGTTATGGTGTACTCCTTTGGGCCTCATGTCCTTGGTCCATATCTCCCTTTACTTCTTCTAATTCTGAGGATCCATTTTCTTCCCAAACACTGTCTTGGCTTTAGGTTATCATCTCTCGGGTCATGACATCACCTACCCCTTTTAGTTTAAGCTTGCCCTCAAGGTCAAAAGAAGGATATGACATTAGTATATCAACATATCTTTCCCAGGTAGGTTGTACTGCCCCTTCCCAATGTATCAGCACATGTAAAACTCACTGATCTTTAAGCTGTACCCAACAAACATCATCAACATCCACCTGCTGAATAATGGGGCCTTCAGGCACAATTAACATGGGCATTGGCATTGAAGGATTGTGATGTTCTCCTTCATATTTCTTCAACAAGGTTACATGAAAGACAGGATGGTTTCTAGCCCCATTAGGAAGAGTAAGCTTATATGCCACACTGCCTACCTTAGCTATGATCTCAAAAGGACCAAAATAATGCTTGCTTAGCTTTTGATATTTCTGTAGCTAAACGGAATGCTATCTATAGGGCTGTAACTAGACTAACACACCCACTCCCCAACGTTAAAGTTGACATCTGTACTCTTCTGATCAGCAAATGACTTGAAATGAGCTTGAGCTCATGCCATATTCTACTTAAGAGTATCCATGAGCTCATCCCTTTACTGCAACTGTGCATGAAGGTCAACCGACTTGTCTTCTATTGATTAATACTTAAGCACTAGTGGAGGTTCTCTCCCATATACTACTTAGAAGGGAGACGTTCATATAGATAAGTGATGTGAGGTATTGTACCAGAACTCTGCCCATGGAAGGAAATCCAGCCACTTTCGAGGATGTTCAGACACGAAGCATCGAAGGTACATCTCTAAACTTTTTTGACAGTATCTAATTGTCCATCCATTTGTGGGTGATAGGCCAAACTCATTTGCAACTGAGTACCCTGTAGACGAGCCAGATGATGCTAAAAAGAGCTAGTAAAAGCCTTGTCTCTATCAAAAATAATCGTCCTTAGAATTTCATGTAATTTTACTACATTTTGCTAAAAAGTGTGTGCCATAGCTTTACTTCAGTAGTCGGCCTTCAGTGGAATAAAATGGGCATGCTTAATGAGGCGATCTATTACCACAAAAATGACAGAATATCCTTTCCTTGTAGGTAATGCAGTCACAAAATCTATAGAATTATCTTCCCATATTCGTTTAGGAATGGGCAACGGATTTAACAAACTTGCTGGATGCAATTGAGTGGTTTTTACTTGTTGACATGTTAAGCATTGCAACACAAATTTCCTCACATCCGAATGCATCTTGGGCCAGTAAAAAATGGCAGCAATCCTCTTAAAGGTTTTGAAGTACCCTGCATGTCCTCCTTACACAGAAGCGTGAAATTCACCTAAAATTTTCTGAATGAGTTCAACATCAGAGGTTGGTATAACTAATCTATTTTTCTAATAGACGTCATCTTTTTAAGGACAAAATTTTAGATTGCATTGGTATTTTATTTCAACTTCTCTTTCAATATCTGGATCTCAGTGGACCCTTGTACTCGTGCATGTACCTCATTTATAAAAGTGTTATGGAGTTAAGAAAATGCAAATAAAGTAACTCATGACAAAGTATCCACAGCTTGATTAAATTTCCTAGTTTATATTCCACGGTGAACCGATATCCCATCAATTTTGGTCAGCAAGCCTCTTGCTCAGGGGTATGAACTCGTTGATATAATAAATGCCTTAGACTAGCATGGTCTGTTCTAATGACAAATGGATGTCCTATCAGATAGTGCCTGAACTTTACTACAGCTTCCATGATGGCAACAATTCTCTATTGTATACAGATTGTGCTTGCATTCTGCTAGATAACTTCTTAGAATTAAAAAGCAATGGGATGTCCTTCCTGACTCAAGACTGCTCCTATGCCCATACTGACGCATCCGTTTCCAATATAAATGGTTGAGTGAAGTTAGGTAATGCCAAGACGGGAGCTTGAGTTAAAGCTTGTTTCAACGTCTTAAATGCAACTTGTGCATCCTCTCCCCATTGAAAGACATCCTTCTGAAGTAGTTTAGTAAGTGGTGCTACAATTTGAGCATACTTCTTGATAAATCTTCTATAATACCCAGTGAGGCCGAGAAATCCCCTAAGTTGCTTAACATTTAGGGGTATTGGCCAGTTCTGTATTTTCATGACCTTGGTTTGGTCAACTTCAACCCCAGCACTTGATACTATATGACCCAAGTAATCAATTTTCAATTGGCCAAATGAGCACTTAGATAATTTCACATATAATTTATGCTGATCCAAAACTCGCAATACATCTTCAACATGCTTTAGATGTTCAACCCAAGATGAGCTATATATGAGTATATCATCAAAGAAGATAAGCATGAACTTGTACAAGAATGGTTGGAAAACATAATTCATTAGAGATTGAAAAGTCACTGGTGCATTCGTGAGGCCAAATGGCATTACTAACCATTCATATAGTCCTTGATGTGTTCGACAGGCTGTCTTCTCCCTATCTGAAGGTTTCATCAATATTTGATGGTATCCTGCTCATAAATCTAGCTTTGAATAATATACTAAACCCCATAATTCATCTAATAATTTATCAACTGTAGGCATAGGAAAAGAATCCTTGATCATTATAGCATTTAAAGTTCTGTAATCTATATAAAAATGCCAGGTTCCATCTTTTTTCTTGACGAAGATAACTGAAGCTGATTATGGGCTACAGCTTGGTTGAATTAGGCCCTCCTCTAACAATTCACGCACCATTTTCTCGATACCTCAAGGTTTGTCATTAGATAAAGGGCATACACATCAAATCATCAAGAAAACCCCTGCATATTCTTAGTATCTTTGCCTAGTCTATTAGTAACCCATTAGGTAATTCTAGCGCAGGTCTAATCTTCTTTTCATCTAGGTCCATTTATCGAATTAAAAACATTTCTGCAACTGAGTCTATTTTTATTATTTGAGTCATATTACTTAATTGGGCCTAATGAACAGGTGAGGCTTGAAAACCCTTGAGGGTCACAAACTGTCCCTTATCCATAAATCGAATCGTGGATGAACTATAGTTGGCTATATATAGTCTTAAAGTTTCCAACCATAGTGCGCCAATGACGATGTCCACTCCAGCTACTGGCAAGAAAAATGTCAAGAATTGCAACATGTGTTCATCAATTTGTATGGGTAGTTCAGCTATATAACCTTGACGGGTTATTACTTGCCCATTTCCCACTAACACGTGTAAAAACTGGAAATAGTTCTATTGTAGAGCTAGGTGTTGCATTATCCGTAGGTATATAAAGTTATCAGAGCTTTCTCCATCTAATAAAATTTGAACGTCCGTCCCATGTTTAGTTCCCTTAAAATGGATAGTCATTATTCCCACTAATCCTCGATAAGCATATAGGGATAAATGGTGCAAAGAAGCATTTCTTATCTCAAGCTCATCGTTCATTGTCTCACCATTTTCTTCTACCTCATCTTCTTCAATAAGTAGCATCAGTTGACGCTTAGCAAACTTGTAAGTGGGGGTAAATTTTTCATCACAAAAATAGCAAAGACCCTTCTCTCTTCTAATATGCATTTCTGTCGGCAGAATTTGATGTATTGGGGGTCGATTAGGTGTTGGAAGTAATAGCAACAAGGCTGTTTTGCTACTAGAAGCATTCCCCCTTGTATTTATCGGCAATAACATTACAGCCTTGGTAGTGTTGATTGTTGGAGATGGGGAGTAAGTGGTTTGCAATCTCAAGGTTATAGTCGATAAATTTTCTCATTCAGTATATAATCGCCCGAGCGTGATTGCTTTGAGTAGAGACTTGGGTGTTTATGCCACTACATCTCATCATATCTCTATTTTCAAAACCCCCAATGAAATAATCTATAAGTGATCCTTCAGTCATTTCTTCAAACTGATTAGCTAATGCCATAAAGCTCTTAGCATACTCATCATAGGACCCTTGTTGGGTAAGCTTAAACAGCTGTACTCTAGCACTCTCATACTGGGTCGAGCCAAAATGAGCTTCCACTGCTTGAGCCAAAGTATTCCAAGTAGAAATCTAATTCACCTTTTGCATCATTTGAAACCAGGGCGTAGCCATTCCTTCCATATATATTCCGGCCATTATTAATTTTTGCTCCTCTGTGGTCTCATAAAACTTAAAATATTGCTCTGTAAGAAACAACCATTCCAGAGGTTAAGTTCCATCAAACTTTGGGAAATCAACCTTTAGCTGTTTAGAGGGCATATAGAGATACTAGTTTATCGGTTGAATCATTGGCGTCTTACTTGCAAGCTCTCAAAGAGTTTCAGGTGTGTTTAACACCAGAATGTGAGACGAAGACTCTTGCTGCATCTCTAGAGTTACGAGTCATCGATTAACTCCCTCAATAGCCTTTGCCAAAGTTTTCAGGTACCTTTTGATCTTAGCAAATCGCTTTGACATCTCCTCCATAAATCCTTTAAAGTCAGCCATAGTGTCTCTTAATGAAAGCACTAAATATGTCACATTCACAATTATATTCTAATAGAAATCATGAATTCAACAGAAATAGAGGCAAGTATGAATATCAGTAGCCTAGTATATTCATATATCATCAACTAAGGTAATGGAAATAAGATCAGACAATACGACAAATAATAGAATTGCAGGAATTAAATGCAGAAAGAGAGAATAACATAAAGAAAGAATAACAAAGAGAGAAAATATTAGGGAGAGACGTCCATCATAACCAACTTGTCCTTTCTCTGCTGCTAATTCTCTTTATTGCTCATCCTCATCGTTCAGCAAGCGAAGCTTCCATGTGGGCCTGCGGATACGCTTACTTTTCTTAAGTCTTGGTATACTCCTTTGGGCCTCATGTCCTTGGTCCATATCTCCCTTTACTTCTTCTAATTCTGTGGATCCATTTTCTACCCGAACACTGTCTTGGCTCTAGGTTATCATCTCTTGTGTCGTGACAACAACCTCGCCTCTCAATCAATTAATGACTAGCCTCTCAATCTCACCTATATGATCCATCTCAATCTCCACATGACCTCGCTCTTGCTCAATCTCAATCTTACTCAGTTATTGTGGCTCTGGAGTATGGATCTCAATCTCACCTCTACCTATTTTTCATCTACCTCTCTCTTGATCATGCTATTATGGTGTTGACTTCGATCATTCAACCTCTACTCACTATTTTAGGTTTTTGATTCTTTGAATGTCCTAGTTTTTTTTTGGTTGATAGTGTTCTAGTTTTATTTCTAACTCTCATTCCTCATTGGCATATTGTTCTCTAATTCTATTTCTCAAAGTTGATAATTTATGTCAAGCTCGAACTTGCCCAAAAAAAATTAAGGCTGGGCTTAAATATATATATATATATATATAAAGTTTCTTTAAAAATGGTAGATACTTTAAATCAAATCTAAATAAGCTTGATTGTTAAAATTACTAGCTCTATATGTATATAGAGCCTGTTATTCAGGCCAAAACTAACAAGTTAACTTGAATCCACTTGAACAAAGTTAGGACTGAGTTAAACTATATGATTTTTTTAAAAAATATATGATAGTTTAAACCTGATATGAATAAACCTAGCCCAAACAAGCTTGACCTGCTCAAATTCTAGCTCTACTATTTTTGATTTTGTTTGTGATTCCTGTGGTTCAAAAAAAAATATATGGGTTTATGTTCTTATGTTTTTTGTCCTTGATCTAAGATTTTATTTTTTATTTTGAATATGTGATTTATGCTTTTGTTTGCTGTTTGAGGTTCATGACCTAGATGATGAAGATCTTGATTTGTCTGATTTTTTTTTAAATTTAAAATATTTCAATTAATATATATTGTTATAATGATAAATTTTATTTTATTATATATTTTTTAAAATGGGCTTACGAGCCCTACTCTGAGTTTTAAAAATAAGGGTTGGGCTTCATAAAATGGGGAGTTTTTGAAAAATGAGCTTAAGGACTTAAGCCCATATTGGCACAACCCACATTTCCCAACTCTAGACCTCTAGCTAAATTTCAAGAGAAAATTCAAATTATGAATTTGCAAGAAAATAATGAAATCATGGATTATAGTAAAAATTAAAAAGCTCAAAATATATATTAACTTTGCAGAAAAATATTAAAACAATAAAATTCAACCATAATTATCTCCTCATACTAATTTATTAGGATATACATGTAGTAAAGGTGTGTTTGGATTTTAATTGAGTAAAGTTGATTACAAAACAAAGTTGATTATCAAAATGAAATTTCAAAATATTTGATTATTTGATGAATCTTCAAATAACTTCTTCCACAATGAAATTTCAGAGCCTAAATAGAGTTTATGAAAAATATAATTTTTTTGAAATTTTAAATAATTAAGGTAATATAAATCCATAGACTTTTATGTATCTAAATGGGGAATCTGATTCAAATCCAAATCTAATCATCCATCCAAAGCCATCATTAATAAATTTTGATTTAAGATAATGCATGGCTTTTATCACTATTGCAAGAAGGATTTTATAGATTAGTTATTGGGGGAAAATAAAAAAGATTGAAGTGAAAAAGTCCACTTCCCACACTGATGTTAAATGTCTTTTTTTTAAAAAAATATTTTTAATTATTGCATTCCGAAAAAAATCCCTATTATTCAAAATAAAAAAATAATTCACAAAAATATAAAAAATATTTACAAAATCCAAAACGCAATAAGCTTAACAATTATTCAGAGCAACATAGAACCTAATCATGATATTCAAGGCAAAAGGCTAATGAAAAAAGCTCTATTTCTTGAAAGCAAAGTCAATCATGCATTGATAAAGCAACAGCAACAAGAAATTAAGATAAAATAAATACTTGAATAAGATCATTTAAATAAAAGCAAGAAATAAATTGTATGACTCATGTAATACCCTTTTCCAACTACAAACTGAACATTTGTGCTTCGAACTTCGAAGAGGTGTGCTCTGAAACTCTTCTATTCATATAAAATGGAAATTAGAATAAAAAATAATCAAAACAGATTTAAAATCATATAAAATGGAGATAGAAGTAACGGAGGTAAAGAGTACTTAGTTAAGGGTTTATTCATACTATTTGAAATGCTAATGATATATACTTACATTTGGTAAACACAACTAATCGCATTTTGATCCTTGCATGTCCCATTCATCATATAATTTGACTAAAATCAACAACAATCAACTTCAACTTAAATCTTAAATAATTTTAAAATTTAAATAAACCCAAGAAAATTTTAAACATATAACAATTCAAAAAGAAGAAACACAGGAATAAAAATTTTGACCCAAAAAAGGCCAAAAAGCAGGGGGAAAAAAACTCTGAATGATCTGTATATATATGGATTCGCATTGCACCAAATGAGTGATCTTGCCCTTCATTTCCATTCAAATCCATATTTACCATTGATTTTAAATTAATTTTTAAATAATTTAAATATTATATTTGT